GCGGTACATTTTTCCCTGTATCATTATCGATGGATCGTATATGAGTTCCACTTGAGGTCGGGTGTGAGTTTGAAGTCCAATATTCTCTCAGAGCACGGTGCTTCCTCGAGTGAACTTTCGTTCATCGTAAGTGGCGTTAGTTCAGGGTCTGGTCTGCGGTAATGGAATGTATATTTTCATCTTCATTAATTAGAAGTTAAGCAAACTATTTCTATAGGTGTCTCTTCGCTGGCGGCCAAATGATCAAATTTCAAATCTATGACCATTTAAAATTGTATTGTATGACCATTTAAAATACAATATTGATTAGAAAATACGCTTACAATACCAACTCAAAAATAAGAAACCCAACAAAAGAAACTCCTAAACCAACGATCAGAATTAATTTCTAAGTGCACTCATGAAACCAAATTCCTACTACGCTACCGAGAACTACATAATGACTCAATGATTATATAAAATCCTATAACCAAAATCTAAGAAAATTTATTGCAAATATCACTATTTGGAATTGAAGGAAAATAAAGAAAACCAATAAATTAATGATATATATAAATAAATACAATAATGAAAATCTAACAAAAACATAAAAAAACAAACTAAATAAACACATGTATTGGCCCTAAAAAAGAATTAGGGGAGGGCCGTCTTCGGCCACCGCCCAATTGCTTCAATTCTCTAGTGGCTTATACATAAAACTATATAGTTGTTATATTGTCTTTCGAGATGTGAAATAACAATCGTTATGTATTACTGGCTCTTCAAGCAACACTGTCTGTTGCTTTCTTAATCTAACCCCATATATATATATATATATATATATATATATATATATATATATATATATATATATATTATCATCCACAGATAAACTGTTTCGCTGTATCACAGCTCATTAGTGTGGCTAGACGTCCGTTACCTCTAGCTAGGATCGAAACCCAGCTGATTTGGCGTCACTAGGGAATCTACCACTAAGCCGTTGGTGCACGGCAGGGATGGAGGTAAACTTAAGCATATTTATTTTTAGATAAACACACCAGTGACTGAGAGAACTCGATTCGCTATACTGAAGAGTATTGCATTAGTATCAGTAATAGTCATTCCTCAGCCGAAACAATTTTTCAGGAGCATAAATATTGTCATCCACAGACAGACTGTTTCGCTGTATCACAGCTCATCAGTGTAAATAGACGTCCGTATTGTGTATTTCGACAGCAATCCCCCTTTTATAAAAGTTTCGTTAAAGACTGACAAGTTAATGCGATTAAGTATTTTATTTCATTTTTCGTACAAATGCTAGTCAAAGGTTCTGAATATCCGAGTGTTTAGGCTGTTCATTAGCAAGTATCATTATTTTATTTTTAACTGAATATTTCGGTATTTTCTTTATGTATCTGAATTTATATGAATGTTTTATTTTCCAAACACGGTCAGCACATTGTGTCCGTGTTGATAGTTAATGTTATACAGTATTGGCTTTTCCGTTTTTATTATTAGTACTTCAATTATTTTTAATCATTTATTTACATGTGGATGGGTCTAATATATGTATATTTTCTACTAGTATGCTGTGGTTTGAGTTTAGTAGGTTTCTGGGTGTGTTTCAATGTGTTCTAACTGAACTATGGTCAGATAGGTGTAACATGATGTGTGCGATGGATAAATTGTCGTCTAAATCATGAAAAAATGAAAATAACATTGACATCACATTTTAACAGATATGTTTACCAAAATTTCACTGAAATATCTTGAAATAATAAAGAGTAAAATTATTCAATAAAATCGTCATTGGTTTCAACCACGGCCTCGAGACGACATTGGAATTTCCTTAAACTCTTCTGAATGTTCTCCTTGTTTAAGTTGATGAATGCTGTCATAGTCCTTGACTTTAGTTCATCTTTGGAAAAACAATGAGTTTTGTTGGTCTCTCCCTAAACTTCGTCCCACGCATAATAATCAAGGGGGTTGCAGTTTGGGGAGTTAGATGGCTAGATGTAAAGAGTGATTTGGTCGCAGAAATTGTCTGACAGCCACAACTGGCTTCTCTTTCTTGTGTGTCATGGTGCAGAGACCTGTTACCAAATATAGGATTTTCCACGCACTTGGCCCAAGGCGCCATGAACACCTCAACGCACTTGATTAATGTCTTCGTGTTGAGTTTGAGGCCTTGTGGGAAGATGAGTGGCAGCATAACGTTGTTATCACTAGTGATCACTCCAAATTTCATCATGTTAACTCAGTATATCATCCAACTCTTTCCGAATCCTCTGCATTGTCATCAGATTGGCACAAAAAACTCATATTGAAGATTCTGGTGCAAATACCAAGCAGTACTGCATGCCGTTTGCAAATTTATGGCGAAGTGAAGTGCGTCATGGTGCTTTTTTCTCACAGACGGTGCCGAAGTGACCCTACTATACTGTGCAATCGACAAAATCAAAATCAATCTCGAAGGTATAGGTTTGACTATATATATATATATATATATATATATATATATATATATATAGAGAGAGAGAGAGAGAGATATCCGATTGCAATAAAGACGAATCAAAAATAAATTCAAACGTTTATAACATTAATTTAAAAACAGGGCTCAATAAAAAAAAAAGTAGAGCTATAATTCTTTATTATAGGATATTAAAATCTATTTCCGCTACAAAAATGCCTTAATGTTTCGATGCAACAATAACATCTCATCAGGCTGTGTTAAAATGATTGTTATAACAAGTTTTAAATTTACACGTGTTTTTTTTGTGTGTGTGTTTGTGCATATATATATATATATATATATATATATATATATATATATGTGTGTGTGTGTGTGTGTGTGTGTATGTATATTTATTGGTTTGTTTTTCTTCTATTCTTCCAAAAAAAAAAAACACCCTATCTTGGCCGCATGTCGGGAGATCAATACAACCATGCATACCTAATCTATAACATCGAATAGCCCAAGTGAAGTCTTGATTGGTTGTTGTCTACTGGGGCAACTTATATAATTCACGTCCTAAAGCTCGTGGCAAATTTTGGTTCTAGGTGCGGGCTGAATACTGATCATATTCGGTTGGGTCACCCATCGAAGAAGTCTGTTGTTTATTTAGACCCGAAACTTCTAGTGACATGGGAGCAACAACACTGACGACGCATCTAGATTCGGCACTTAAAGGTGTATTTTAATAATTTAACCTTTATAAAAAATTTTTTTTAAATTGTTATAACCATCATTTTAACAACGCCTAATGAGAGGCTATGTTGTATCGAAACATTAATCCCGTTTTATATTAGTATATGAATTATATTTCCTTTTCAGGTAAATTCAGGTAAATTCCGAAACGAAAATAAGTGTAATTACATTAACTTTACTGGTTTATTCTTTGTATAACCACTTCTTTGTAATATTAATTTCATTGATTTAAAAGTACTGATCTAGAGTGCAAAATTTCGAAAAAACTACTGGGACATGACTCTAGATATTGGACCATTTGGTCCAAGCCACATTGATAAAACACAGCAAAAAATCGTAGGATTGCCATATTACTGTATTAAAAAAAAAAATTCTGATTTTAAATTTTCAAATTTCAGCTCTAGCGTTGCGATACTGCCACGCTCGAAAATTTTGAAACTTAATAATAACACACGTTTAAAAAAAAAACAAAGAAACATCTTACGACTTAACTGAAATTACCTGAACAGGAAGTATAATATCCAGCCCGGAAGATAGAAGAATTACCGAAAGTACTAGCATATCTACGGAACATTTAATCCATTTTACAATTTTTAAAATCAATGATCGTGTCATTCAACGAGTGTCTAGTAAATTAATGCTTTATTAAAGATCGTTAAATTTATAAATACGCAAGCATACAAAACAGAGTAAAAAAAATCGGATTGAAAAGACGCGGAATAAAGTGAAAAAATTGAAAAAAAATTGAAAATACCGCTGAAAACCGCAACCCCTGAAGACTGAAAATTTTACCAAGAAACATCGATGTCGGGACAAAAGTGATACTTAAAAGTCATGTTTTCATATAATGTCATTAACACTTAATTGTTTAATATTATCTTAATATTTTTAATATATATAGCACTATATATAAAAAAAATATCTGCTATTTCGTATATATATATATATATTCTATTCTATCGGCGGCCATGTTTTTATTATATATATATATATATATGAAAACATTAATTCTTTCAGTGGGCATGTTTTATTCAATATATATATATATATATATATATATATATATATATATATATGGTAATTTTGATTCTTTCGGCGGCCATATTTTATTCTAACATTGTTTCTGCTTTTACTGCCGACGGCTCTGCATTCCGCACTTAATGACACTAGCCTTTGGAAGTTGGCGCGAAATTTTAGCTGTTCGGTTGTCCATGGTTGGACATCCCCTCCCTCTCGAGACAATAGGTCTCTCTTCTTTTTCATCTTCTTTTTCCTCACCTTAGTTGTTTATTTATTTATTTTTCTGGCGGGAAATTGCGTCCAAGTAAAAGAAACGAAATAAGAAAATAGAGAAACAAAAAAAAAAAAAAAAGTGAGTGAAGAATAATAAAATAAAGGAATGGAAAGAACGTGAGAAAAGAGGGATAAGAACTGTGAAAGAAAGAAAGAAAGAAAGAAAGAAAGAAAGAAAAAAGAAAGAAAGAAGTGACGGAAAATAGAAAATGAGACAGGGTATAAAAAAGTGAGGTAAATTCAGGAAAAAGCATAACTGAACGATAGAAAGAAAGAAAGAAAGAAAGAAAGAAAGTACAATGCAATTAAAAATGAAAAGAAAAAGAAAGAGAAAGATGAATGTGATTAATAAGAAAGAAAGAAAGAAAGAAAGAATGAAGTGACGGAAAATAGAAAATGAGACAGTGTATAAAAAAGTGAGGTAAATTCAGGAAAAAGCATAACTGAACGATAGAAAGAAAGAAAGAAAGTACAATGCAATTAAAAATGAAAAGAAAAAGAAAGAGAAAGATGAATGTGATTAATAAGAAAGAAAGAAAGAAAGAAAGAAAGAAAAATGTGATGAACGATTAAAAAAGGAAGGAAAAAATTGGAGAGGAAGAAAGACAAAAAATTCAAGCAAAAATTGGGGAAAAATGAAAATGAAGCATAACTGAACTATCAAAATAAAGAAAAAAGAGAAGGAAGGAAGGAAGGAAGGAAAGAAAGAAAGAAAGAATGGAAATAAAACTCAAGAAAGAAAGGGAAATTTAAGAAGTATAAACAATAAAAGAATCTGGAATGGAAAGAGAGAAAGAATAGAAGTAAAATAGTTCATTCTTTTTTTGCTAATTTGCATTTTCCTTTTTGTTTCATTTTATATATTTCTGGAGGCAACCAGACATAATTGTAACCACTAACATCATCTTAAATAAAAGAAAGAATGAACGCAAGTCCAAGCCAAGAAAAAAAAAGAACCCTAATTCAATGAGATAAAGAGAAAAAAAAGAACTAAATATGTATCAAAACAAAGAAAAACAACTTATTAAGCAATAAAACGCCAGTAATTGATTCTATTAATGATTCAAACTGACGGATTTACGAGACAACATCCGCCATGTTCATTTTGGCGTGGTCCACGAGAGAAGGGAAGCTAAGATATGGTTGGTGGAACAGATTCTCTGTGTTGGGGAATCCACTGAACTGAGCAGCGAAGAACTAGTGTAAAATCCAGATTCCCCTTCATAGGTTCAAGGTGTCGAAATATGTAAACGCCGATGGATTTTTTCGGCCTTTAAAAACATAGAAAAAATGGCGACACGCCGAGATAGACGTCTGAAGAATTATGAAAAAACGAAGACGCGGGGAAAAAAGTTCAAAATAGGCGGAGAGAGACGAAGAAAAGAGAAACGAAGAAAAAATGAACGGAAAGAAATCTATAAAAGGTGAATCAATTAGTCATGACAACAATCAAAAGGGGAGGGTTTCGAAGTATATGTGTACCATCAAAAACCTTCCTTTTTTATTGCTGCCATGCAAGATTGATATATAATAGTGTAGACTTTTATATAATAGTATAGATTGTTATATAATAATAAATGTAGGACATGCTCGAAAAATTTGAACTCTTAATATATATATATATATATATATATATATATATATATAGTTCAGACATATTCAACTTTTTCTGACAAGGAGGATATATGTGATATAGCTTATCATATGAGGTCCGTACTAACTACAAAAATTAGCTGACGAATGCATATAGCATGAAACAGACTGTCGCCTCTAAGTGTTGACTTCTATATTCACTTATATATATATATATATATATATATATATATATATATATATATATATATATATATAAGTATCATACGAAAATGTACAAGTGGGAAACATCTCTGAATCTAACATGTTTCACTTTATTAAAGCTTCGTCAGAGAACAAGATAGAAACGATAAAATATAAAAGCAAAGAGACGCAGATTAATTGTATGTTGCGTTAGGCTATTTCCTTGCTTACTTAAGTGTCACGTGCATTGAAATAACAGATTTTGTTTAAGTATGTGTGGCAAGCATTCTCAGCGCTAAAGTGTGTTAACGTTAGTAAGATGCTGTAGGAAGTTTTGATTGTGTACATGTCATGTGTAAGGAAGTAACAGATAATCTTCAAATAACTGTAAGAAAATATTCTGGGTGTTAACGTATATAAAGATTAGTGAGACGCTGCAGGCGATGATAAGTAACTGGTGAAGTAAATAACTGAAGAAGGACAATCATAGTATTGAAACATGAAAGCTTTTGGGTAGCGTTTCATAATGTTTTTATTATTATCTCATAATAAAATATTAATAATATAACACAAACACACACATATATATACCGAGTATATATATATATATATATATATATATATATATATATATATATATTCATGAATTATTCACACAAAAACTAATGCAAAGGTTAATGATTTAATTGGCGAGAAATCCATCGTCGCAAACAATTCAAATAATATACAAAAACCTCCGAATCCGTTTTTGCATTTTCGTTGTCCTCTTATTACTAAGAGAAAAAACAAGAACAACATCTATTCCATACCTGAAGATGTCTGTAGGAACAGACGAAAGCTTGTAGTAAAAATAAGAACTACTGCGGCAGAAATTTATGGAAACTAGGATCTTTTCATTCATAACGGATTCGGAGGTTTTTGTATTTTATTTGAATTGTTTGCGACGATGGATTTCTCGCCAATTAAATCATTAACCTTTGCATTAGTTTTTGTGTGAATAATTCATGAATTTGTAAATTGATTGCACGTTTATCGTAATTTAAATAACTGATCCAAGTGCGACTTTTGGATAATAAGTGCGACATTACTGTAATTATTGAACGATATAGTTCATGCCACTTTGACACAAAATTTACCAGTAAAAAATTCGTTCATCACCATATTTGTATATGAACGCACAACTTTTAAAATTTTAAAATCAAACTCAGCGTTGCTACTGCGCGCTCCAAAAACAATAACTCATTTCCAATAGCATTTTCGGATACAACAATACATATATTTTCTCTGTCCTCTTATTACTAAGAGAAAAAACAAGAACAACATCTATTCTATACCTGAAGATGTCTGTAGGAACAGACGAAAGCTTGTAGTAAAAATAAGAACTAATACGGCAGAAATTTATAGAAACAAGGATCATTTTTTCATTCATAACGGATTCGGAGGTTTTGTATATTATTTGAATTGTTTGCGACGATGGATTTCTCGCCAATTAAATCATTAACCTTTGCATTAGTTTTTGTGTGAATAATTCATGAATTTGTAAATTGATTGCACGTTTATCGTAATATATATATATATATATATATATATATATATATATATATATATATATATATATATATATATATACCGTAATAATACGCTTTCATCCATAATAAATACCCACTAAAACTGTGCTGAAAGTGTGGGAAAACGCTTCTACTCACGCATAATACGCGTACATTGTTTGGTAATCAAACCCTCTAAATTGTACCTCTACAATTTCATTACGTCAAGCGTTTCCTACTCTCATTAAAAATGGTTTTAAACATAGAATAATATTATTCTAATTTAGTTTTATGATAATTCTTATTTTATTTTACATTTGTAAGTATTATTAGATACATATGATTGGATTTGAAATCCTTATGGGGTCGCAATCGCCGAATGTTAGTGTCAAATTGTCGTATGTTTCTGGTGAGTAGTCATTTCGCAACTGAAATCGTTCTATGAAACGGCGATTTTTAAATGATTTTTCGTAACTGTGCATAATACGCACTCCTGATTTTGCTTATTATTTTTTTTAGAGAAATGTGCGTATTATACATGGGGAATTATGCTATTTCTTCTCCAGAATGTATAGTCTGAAATTTTGTTTTTTAATAGAAAATAATTTACATGTAACATCTTCCATAGTGAAAAATGTAAATGGTTTACAATGCTGAAAACATTATCCCCAACGAAAAGTTACTAAATTTAAGATAAATTATACTTAATAACAATTTTTATGTCATTATGCATAAAAGAATCGGGTGGGGGCGTTAAAAAAATAAACAGAACTTTTCAAACGTTAATTTCTTCATTAAATGAAGTTCGCCTTTCTAAAACCACAGTACCTGGGGTAGATAGAAGAAGATGGTGATTGACGTTGCATTTACATCTTTGAAGATCGTAGGAGGCATAGAAGCAAGAAAGCGGACAAGGGAGAGAACTGCGAGAGGTGAAAATGTTAGAATAAACTTACGATTACATCTAGATATTTCAACAGTAATACGACGAGACCTAATTGCCAGTCTAGTACTTAAAATTATTTGGTCAAGATACCAGGGGTGAAAACTCATTAGGACAACTGTCATGAAAATACGTATAGAAAAGACAGAGGGAAGCCACTTGACGACGGAAGTCTAGATGTCAGGTTAAGACCAATGGCATCCTAAGAATTTGTCGAGAATTTATATATATATATATATATATATATATATATATATATATATATATATATATATATATATATATATATCCGATCACCAGACCAGATGTGACAACTATATTCACTGCACGAACGAATAATCTATCTATCTATCTCTCTCTATATTTTTTGTGTGTATATATATATATATATATATATATATATATATATATATATATATATATATAATTATTATTTATAAAAAATTATAACATAAGTATGTTATAAAATCACTACAAAAATAGCCATTTTGTTTCAACACCCTCGGTGTCTTATCAAGTGATGATGTTGAAGATAAAATAAATGGTTTTAAAAGTTTCAGATTAATTAACGATCCTACACGAGGGGGAAATATTGTTACAAAAGCTAGAATAACCAATCAAAAACCAAGTATAGAAAGATTCAAAAGCTTGACAACGAAATCATGTTATAATAGCTATTCTTTTTACGAATAGTAATTGTTGGTTATTGTAATTCATTCCGTATATACCAATTATATATATATATATATATATATATATATATATATATATATATATATATATATATATATATATATATATATATACGTATGCATATATTTAAGCTTTTATTGTGTGTAATACTTGAGGGGCGGTGTGCAAAATAGCGATGATCCACCCATTGCCATGCTAACTTGGTCCCGTTGACGTGTACTGATATCGCTATCGAAGAGGGTTTGTGTATATAATACGCGACATATATCTTCAACAATGCTTAGTTCATCTTAAGGAATTCATTTTAAACTTTAAAAATTATAATAAAAAAGAGTGGGTGGGAACATATATATATATATATATATATATATATATATATATATATATATATATATATATATATATATATATATATATATATATATATATATATATATATATATATATATATATTTTAAAAACGTTATTTTTAGTATATGCTCTGTTTAATTTAAACGCTATTTTATTTCGATTACTGTTCTGCGCACTTGGGAAAATTTATCAAAGAAAATGCGTCCCCCGTTTGATTCGAACCTGCGTATCCCCCTGAACGTTCGGCTATTAAGAGCTTCACAATCAGACGAAGTTCAGTTTGCTTTTAAAGCGCATTTAAACGTTCAGATGTATTCGAAGGTCATCACTGCGCAGTTTCGCGTTTAAAACATAATCAAAGTAGTTTCTAATGAACTACTGGATTTGATTTTTTAATCCGACATATGTTTTTACGTTATTTTTAGTAGACACCCGTATTTGTGTAGACGGTCTGTATATTTTAAACAGTATTTTATTTCCTTTACTGCCTGAACATCTCTCTCTTTCTTTCTCTCTCTCTCTCTCTCTCTCTATATATATATATATATATATATATATATATATATATTCATACACGGACATATATATAAATACACACACGGACATATATACATATATATTAACTATATATTTATCTGTCATGTGTTTGTAACCACCAAACCGTAAACATGTTTATATATATATATATATATATATATATATATATATATATATATATATATATATATATATATATAAATCCAAAAGAGAAAGAACATCTGTATGTATATGTTTGCCTGTTTGGGTGCGTCAATATTTTATGGTGAAATAATTATATGCAAATTTACCTATTCATATGGATTTTTGCCAATGCCTTCATCTCTTTATCTATATATCTATGTCATGTTTTTGTACCTACCAACCGGCAAACACCTCCCCACACGCACCCACACACACACATATATATAAACATGAAATTAATATACTTACGCATGTATACATGAAATTTATATATGCATATGTATAAACAGGCGTATATATATATATATATATATATATATATATATATATATATATATATATATATATATATATATATATATATATATATAGCTTTAAGGTGAGT